TTAAAGTTGAGCAGCGCCAAATAAATGAGACAACTGACCCAAAATGTCAGACAACTGCGAAAGCGAAAACAGAAAGCCAAAAGCGAAAGTTGTTGAATTTCTTTTTAGCTGTTGTTGCTGTTGTCGAGTTGTTGCATAAAAAAATTTACATTTTTTGCTGCTTTTCGCTCACCCCACTAATGGCAACTGGCTGGCATTTAGCCGACATGCTGTGGCATAACTGTGTTAAGTGTTATCAGCGACGCTTAATGATGCCAAGAATAAGCTCGGACTTGCACTCTCGTGCAGCAGCAGCAGCAGCAACAGCAGCAGCAACAGCTGTAAGCAAACCAACAACAATTGCATGCGTGACAAATGACACCAGCGCGACATCAAAATGCTGCAACGGAAGCGGGCCAAACGCGCTGCAACGCACATGGCTGGCAACAACAGTCAACAGTCAACAGCAACAACAACAACAGCAACTACGACAACAGCAACAGCCAACAACAACAGTTAAGCGGATACAGCAATTGTCAAGTGGCACAGGAGACGAATGACTAAAAATAGTCGAGAACGAAGCAAAATGCAAGCAACAGCAACAACAACAGCAACAACAACAGCCGTAGCAGAAGCAACAGTGAGCACTGGCTAAGTGGGCAGAACGGAAGAGATAAAAAGATGGCAAGATGATAGCAGACCAAGCACATTGCTAACAAGTGTTGCAAACAAAGTTTCTCTTCAGCTGTTTCAAGTTGAATAGGAAAGAAATTTCTTATGAAATCGGTGCACAAATAGATTTAAATAAACGAGAAAGCAAAGGAGCTGCTCCTGCCATGTAAACGACTGTGCTAATACTCTGTTAGAGTTCAAATAGCAGGTGAGACCTTCTATTCTTTGTTAGACGCACTTGCACTGTGAGTTCCGTTAGAGACTTTTCAACTGTAATCTTTGCTTTTATATTTTTCAAGAAATTTGTAAAGTTCTTCGTTCCTTTGCCCCACGGACTGAGTTCGCCTTGTCCTCTTCAAACTATTTCTATGTGCATCTTTTTAACCAGAAAACTCTGTTATTGATACTTGAGCGGTGTAAAGTTCTTCCAACTAATGAATTTTTCATTGAAATCGCAATTTTTCGCTCACTTTATATCACTCTCTTTCTCTTTCTTTTTCTGTCTAACTTTGCCCTCTGTCTCCTTAAATATTTATATTTTTGATACTTGATATCTCTCTCTGAGACTCTCTCAGCCCTTCTCTTTCTCTCTCTATACTTCAATCTCAGCTTTTTCTCTATTTCTCTTTTTCCAATCTCAATCTCTCTCTCTTTCTCTCATTCTCTGCATTTTCTTTTCTCTATCCTTGCCTTAATCTCAAAGTTAGGTCAACCTCTCTCTCTCTCTCTCTCTCTCTTGCTCTCTCTCTCTCTCTCTCACTCTCACACTCTCTCTCGTTTTCCCTCTCTCTCTCTTTCACTTAAGTATTTCAATCAGTTCTCGGTTCTTGTCATTCAGTCATTCACTCTTAGGCTGTCTTCACTGTGCCGCATATCGCTCATCGCCGTCTCTCGCTCTCTCATGGAATTCGCGAATGATACTTGAGTTATTTTTGGGTTTTTGCTCGCTGATGCGACCCACAAAAACTAAAAAACTGGTCCAACTAAATGCAGCAAAACGAAAGACCAATTACGAATTCGTTGACTTTTGCCACACACACACACGCACACACACACACTCGCGCACTCACACACACTCGCGCACTCACACACACATTCGCAATTACTATTCGAGTGCCACGGCACAGTGCGTATGCGTGATAAACAAGCCCTAATTGCATGTGGGTAGCTGAAAAACAGAAAAAGGGAAGCCGAAAAAAAATGGTAAAACTTACCTGCTGCTGGCACCTGGGCCAGCACTCGCTCAGCTGGCGTCAGTTGCACAGTCTCGCTGCCCGCTAATGAGGCACTCGAAGGGCCTAAAGCGACGCTCGCTGCGGCAAGCAGCAGAACTCGGAGCGTACGTAAAGCATACGCCATGTTGTCCAGCTGCAAGAGCAATAGAAAAAGTTACCACAGCTGCTCAACTGCCCTCCCCTAACATAATAAATAAACTCTATTCACTGAGTGGCAGAGAGCGAACCATTCAATTGGGCCCGGCGCATTAACAACAATGCACTTAGCACAAAACCTGCCATTGTGCGCTACGCCTTGACCCCCTCAGCTAGAGCGAGACACCGAGGCTTCATTGTTATCCTGTCAGCCTCCATGACAGCTGCACTACGTGCTGAGAGTGGGCGTGAGAGTGGATTTACTCCAACTAATATTCTGCTATACGATTCACTTTGCGACAGATGTATATCCCGTTAAATGGTTAAAAGTAGTTGCCTTCATTTGAAATGGGAGACTCTTCAAGATCTGAATCAGTTGATAGCTAAAATTGTCTATCAAAGTTCATATTAAACTAAATATGAGAGACGAGAGAAGAGATGTGAATTAATAGCTGAGGCATCGATAACGATTGAAGCGGAAAAACCTATCGATGACTTTATCTTTATGACTTTATCATGTAATATAAATGAACCGATTTCGAGTCTTTAGCTTTTACCAATTAAAAAGTGTGAGAGGAAAAGAGAGAGAGAGAGAGAGAGAGAGAGAGAGAGGGAGAGAGAGGGAGTGCTAGAGACAGAGAGAGAGCTAGCTAGATATATTGTATATAAATGAGTCTATCTAATTAGGTATTTGCATATATTGCAGTCACATTTGGCCAATGATATATATCTATTCACTGCAAACTGCTAAATTGAAAGCAAATAGTACCATTCCATTCCATACAATTCTCTCCTTGCCCATCTCCATTTCACACACACACACACACACACACACAAGCTTTCTCAGCAGCATGCGAGATACTCAGCTGCTCTTGCATGGGGGCTTATTAACGCCTCGCTTGATCTGAACTATTTCGCACGCATCGCTCGGGGTGTGCCCCAGCTGCTGGAGCTGGGTAGGATTTATGAGGCGATGCCAGAGTTGAAGGGCCTTTCCACTGTTTTGGCAGCAATTAAGCGGCTTAGGAGCTGGCGCCCGGTTAAAAAGTTCAACTAGTATTTCGCATTTTGCGACTGTCAAATGTCGAAGGAGCTGTCTATTTGTCTGGCCCTAGGTGGCAAAGAGGGGGCGTGCCTCGACGAGCATTCTCCCCTGCTCCCACTTCCTATCTCACTTCTCTTCCCCTCTCTCCCGCCCTCACCAAGTTGTAGCTACTGCAAATTGCATTGTTCACTCGCTGGCTCCTTTGTAATTTAATGAATAAACGAGCAATTCACTACAAATTTTATAAGAAATAAAAGAAAAGGAATAAGAGCACGAGCTGTGTAGGTGTGTGGGCGTGGCTGATTGTACACATGGCAGCCACGTTTAATGTGCACAAACTAAAGTGCTTGCCTCATTCCGATTCGCCTCGCCTCGCCTCGCCTCGTCTGTCGTTGACAACAAATGCAGACAGGAAGCAGTGCCTGCCTGCCACGCCCACCCGCCCAACTCTCACACACGTCTGTCTACTTTTGCTGCTCCTGCTGCTCCTGCTGCTGCTGTTTGCTGTCTCTGCGGCCTGGCAAAACAAACAAGCAACAAGGAATTGTAGTTCCCCATGTTGTTGTTGTTGTTGTTGTTGTTGTTGCCTTTGTTGTTCTCCCACAGCAAAGACGATAACGAGCTGTGGAGCCAAAGAGGTGCAAGCAGATTTTTTCGGTTAGCCCCACAAACAGAAAAGCGCAATGATTTCGCTCTCACCCACTCACCCACCCGCCCACTTGTCCCACCCACTCACCCGCACGCCCTACGATTGCAAATGAGAGTTCTCGAAAGCAAATTCAATTCAATTTCACCTACAGCTCGAAAACTTCTTAATAGACCTATCCGAATACTCAGTTTAGAAACACATTCGAAAGCCGATTCAGACAAATGATTTGACTCTCAAATAGCTAAATCGTTATTTGGTTTCTGTTTACCCTTCGTCCATCGCAACTGCGGCAAATTTGTTGTTTATGCACTCTCAGCTCCATCAATAGAGAATTTTGGTGGGACTTTTGCGAGATTACGAAAATGATCAATAAATATCTAGATACATCAATATTTTTGCATTTTACTGTATATAAACTATTCTCTTCTTGCCGTCTTCTTTCTTCTCATTCTCTCTCCTTTTCACCTTGAATTAGTTGGCTTCTTCTCTTCTATTTAGCCAACTGGCAGCGTTTCCTTGTGTCTCTCTCTATCAGTCTTTCTCTTTCACTTTCTCTCGCTCTTTCGCGCTCTATGTGTATATCACTCTCTCTCTCTCTCTCTCTCTCTCTCTCTCTCTTCACTCTTGCTCGATTTAAATTTTCTGATCCTATCCACATTTTTACTTTATTTTCTGTATTTTGCTCTAGCTCTCTCTCTCTCTCCCTGTATGTCTCCATCTCTCAATTTATTTATCTCTCACTGTTTTCAATCTCTCTCTCCCACTTGCTATTACTCTCTCTCTCTCTTTCTCTCTCTCTCTCTTACAGGGTATCTATCTATCAACCTTTCTGGCTTTGTCGTTTCTTCTCTCTTTTTCTCTCTCTCTCTCCTCTCCCTTTTTTTGTCAAGTGTTTTGTTTACAGTTGTTTTCTTTTCTTTTTTTATTGTTGTTACTGCATGCAATCCAGCTATTAATGAACTGAGCGCTTAAGGACAGGTGTGTGTGTGCTCACGTGTGTGTGTGTGTAAGTGCACAATTCGTTTTCTCTCTTTGTTTTGCAACATAAAATTTAATTTTACACCTGGCTATCTCTTTATTAAGAGTTCATCACACACACACACACACACATCTGCACACACTAACACACCTGCACACTTACACACACAGGAACTCGATGCTCGTATGTACCGTTAAATGTGGCGTCAACTGCCGTTACTTTTAATTGTTAGTGCCCAAAAAGCTGAAGCGCGACTGAGCGGCAAACAAAACAGAAAAGCATAAAAAAATCATAACAAAATGAAGAGGAGGCAACGGAGAGAAAAATGATATTAGTGATAAAAAGTAATATACAGAATGAAATAAAGTGGAATCTATGACATGCTGAACTTTGATTGAAATTTAAGAAATCAATGCCAGAGGCAATGTAACCCCTGCCACACGCCCACCCGCCCCCAGTGCCACCACCTGCTGCTGCTGCCGATGATATCGACTGATAAGAAGCGACACCGATAACAGCGCGACCCTGGAGAGCAACAAACGAGATGTACAGCTGCGAGGGCTCACAGTCGATAAGGTAGTTGAAAATTAATATGCATTAAATGTCAAATGTTCCACTAATTTAATGGAACGACAACAGCGAAATTAACTAGCCATAGGCCCGACATAGATACGGGAATAGTTGATTAAGTTAGTAAATATTTTAGCTAAGTGGGAGTTAGAGAGTAGCTAATATATATACGTATATATAGAGAGAAGAGCGCATTTAGATAAGTTCAAAATAAATTGATTCTTATTGGAGATATTTACTCTAGTTTTATACTGATTCGGTAAGCATTTCCTTGCAATTCTCAACTGGTTACAGCTTAGCTTAGCTGAGGGTAGATTAAAAATGATCGTGAAATATATAAATAGAGGTCTAAACTGTGAAAATATCTGAAGAGTAAGAGAAAGGAAATTTGAAAATTAAAAACTAAAAACCAGATTAAAATTTAATTTTTATTAATATTAAGTAAATATTTAAATAATTAGTGAAACATAAAATTTAAGTGAATTTAATAAAGTACTTAAAGTTATAATTGAATTTTAAGGCAATGAGCACGTTTAAATAATGTTGGTACTCTTAATGCTGCCCTTTCACAGTTACGCTTTTCACGCTCGCCTTTTACTTCGATTTTCCGCCGCATTTTCTTGTGCCTGGCAATTTGTGCATTCCATTTAATTAATTCAAATGTCTAAATAATAATTTCTGCTATTTACTCGTGGCAATAGATAGGTCCATCACATTTTCGATTTGCCTTCACTCAACTGCCGTTGTTGTTGTTGTTGTCGTTGTTGTTGTCTGTTGCCTTGGCTGAACTTAAATGTTGAGCCTTAGGCACCAATTTGCCTGCAATTGGCATTCGAGGGAAAAGCGTAAAGGAGCGAGAGGCAGAGATTGGGAGAGAGAGTGAGATAGACAGCTAGAGATTTGTATCTTGGGAAACAATTTTAAATGGCGCACAAAAATGCCGGAAACCAGACACAAAATGTTAACGGAAAAGGAAACAGGCGTACGAGCAGTGGAAGCCACACACGCATAGGCACACACATATACACAGGCAGTGCAATTTGCATGCGTGTGTGCAAGCCTATAAAAACGTGAGCTAACCCAATTTATATAACAATTTAAATTTGACTACACGCCCATCCAGAGCTATGTAATAGTTATTTCATATTAATTTTAAATTAACCCAAGTTGAAATTTATTAAATTGCATTATTTTCTCACTAAATAGCAATTGTCTCGGAAAAATTCAACAGTTGAGCCACTGTTGAGCACTCCTGACCGTATTCTCAGAAGCGCCATCTAGCGGGAACCTTTGTGAGCAACACTCGCGCTGCCAGCTCCGTGGCAAACCAGTTCCGTTCCACGCGCTTGACCAATTTTAGTGTATTCTTAGTCACTGCTGCTAAACCAGAAATCTAATAAGAAAAAAAGTGAAAATAACAAAACAAATGCGATAAATTTTGTTAAAAAAAACAACGCAACGATAACGGTGCGCAATTGCATGGCGCGTTAACAACAAATTGCGTATGTGCGAGAGTAAAAGTGCAGCGAATATACATATGTACATGTAAAGACGACACCACACAAATAAAAATAAAATATAAAAGAAGAGCAAAAATTATAAGAAAAGACGACGAAGATGAACGAAGAAGAAGAAACGACAGCAGCAGCAGCAGTCGAATCGTGATGATAAGTTTGTGCGAGTGCGGTGCAACGAAAATAACATACATAATACGTGTGTGTACATAATACACACACACATGAAAGCGCCTCTGCGTATGTGTGTGTGTGCGCGCGCGTGTGTGTGTCAGCGTGTGTGTGTGTGCTTGGTTTTTGGTGAAAAAAAACACCACAACAACAAAAAGCCAAATCGGAGCACTAGCTGAATTTACATACATACAAACAATTACAACTACAACTACAAATATATATGTATACAAAAATATATAACAAGGAAATGCAATACAATAACGGTAACGTGCATAGTCCGCTTGTGTCCAACTAGAGCAGCTGCGTGCTGTAATTCCCTACTCAACAACAAAAAAAGCCAATTGGCATCACAACTGGACCAATTGAAATCAACTACTTAAAAGTGTCGTTGCAATAGAATAACGCGGTTAGCTAGTCCAGCTGCGTGCCGTAATCCGTGCAACAACCAATTGTAACTACAAACTGGACCAATTGGCACCAACCCCAACAACAACAACAACGTACAGTTATTTAAAGTGTCGCTGCCGCTGCCTCAGTCGACGTCTCGGTGTGAAAAGAGGTCAAAGGCGCAACAAAAGTTTTTCATTTCGTTGGTAACGCAAAAAGCAACAACAACAATATCGAAAGTGTGCCCAAGCAGCTGAGCGCAAAATACAAAAAAAAAAAACGTAGTTGTGCGTTAAAACAATAAAAGCGCGCGTATGCGTGTGTGTATATGTGTACCTGTGTGTGTGAGTGAGCAAACAACAACAAAAATCACAAATAGAAGAAGGAGAAGAGGAAGAAGAAGCAACAGCAGCACAAAAATCTTGCGCGCGCGGCCATTAACAAAAATTCCCAACTGGAATAGCAGCAGCAGCAGCAGCCGCAGCCGCAGCAGCGCTCAAAACTCAAATTAGAAATCAATTTTCAAACAGAACGCAAAATAAAATCTGGTTTTATCAGTCGACGCGCACAACAAAAATACAAAAACGGCTGACAAGTTTTTTTTAGCGTAAAGAAGAAGACGCAATAGAATGAAATAAAATAACTTTGAGCTTAGAGCAAACAAAACAGCAGCTGGAAACGTAGAAAAAAGCGCCAAAAAAATACATATATAATATTTACACACCTACGTATATACATACATATACATATATAAAGCCATAACAGAGCCATCATAGCTTAATACATACTTATTTTAATTAAGAAACAACAACAATAACAATAACCCAACGAAAAAATTATTAAATTTGCCAATCGGCCACCAATTGGAGTTGCCAGTTAGTTGGCACACTGAGAGACAGAGAGTGTGAGAGAATCCGGCGCTCTAGAGAGAGAGAGAGAAAGAGAGTAACTGCTGCGGCTACACACATATAACATCGCTCAGCGGCGGCGTGTGAGCGTGAGCGAGAGCAACTGATTTTGTTGTCAAAGCGCGCGCTTGACAAGTAAGTAGAAAAATAATCAAGCAAGCCCTCTTGACTGTCTGTCTCCCCTTCCCCCTCCCCCTTTTTGCAGCGTTCGTTTTGTTTTGCAGCCGGCCGCCAATTTTGCGTCTTTTTAGTGTATTCGTTTTTTTTTCGGACATGCGGGCCTCCTCTCTCACTCACAGCTCTCACCCTCACCCCCCGCCTTTGCCCACCCCCGTCTCTCGCTCGTACCAACAAACAGTGCAAAATTATTCAAAAATTCCATGGCGCGCGCGCCGATAAAGCAGCTGATAAGAGCAGAACAGAACAAGCCAAGGGCCATGGGGGGAGGGAAAAGGGGGGACAGGCGGATAGGTAGCCCCAGCTGCCCACACACACAGCGACGCAGCCCTGAGCCTAAGTAAATTTTTATCGTTTCGGTTATTAAATCATTATTAAATGTCATTATCGATTCGTGGGAATGATTCCGCTCCGCTCTGCTCCGTCTTTGTTGTTGTTGCTGTTGTTGTTGTAATTGTCTGTCATCTATTTATGGTCTGCTGCTGTCCCCCTCAGACAGCCGCACATCAGCTGCAACAGCTGGTCATCAGAGGGGCAGAGGGAGAGGGAGAGGCTTAGCTCAACTGCTTATGGAATTTCTTTGCGTCTGAGCTGAATCGCCAATCAGCTTTTAACCAATAGCTTTAAGCCGAATTCGGCTCTCGACCAACACTTCCGAGTTGTTAGTCATGCGGTCCGCTTGACATTTAGCTGGAATTGCCGCCCGATCGCTAGCTGGGAAATTGATTTTCAGGCAGGTTTTTTTTTTTTTTTTTTTTGTGGGGAGGGGTTTTCAGAATGAAAGAAAAACCAATATTATTTATGCCATCCAAGCGTAAGGAAACTTGTAAACTCTATTGGCTCATAAATTATTAATGGGTAATTTTTGGTTTTTTGTTTCTGTTTCAACGAGTGAGAAAACCTATTGGAAAATAGAAACAGCTGAAACTTGAAAAGAGGAAATTAGGTTGAAAAACAACTGGCATTCAATTTGGTTGGCTGGAAATGTCAAGTTCACATAATATATAACTACTTCACTACCTTAACTAACTAGAACTATGAGACATTGACTATATCTAAAGTACTTCTTGTTGAAATTTGGCCTGAATGATAGATAAAATCAGAATGAATGCTAGTATTATTATATTCTGTTGGTCAAGCTTTTAGTATATACAGTATTATTTTACTTTTGGCTTTTAAAATTTAGTGTTTTTGATTGTATTGTTTCATCATTTCAGTATACCATTTTCAGGTCTAGTACTTTAATGTTCCAATATTAAGGCCTTTCATTTACCTTTAAAGAGCCCAAACTTAAGTCCAAAAAAATAAGTATACGTACACGTGTACTTAATACTTATTTGACACGCATAAACATGTGAATCCGACTATCAGTACTTATAGAGAAAGATAGAGAGAGAGAGAGATAGAGAGAGAGCGAGTGATGAAGAGAACTAGATAGAGTGATAATAGGCGAGATAGACCACTTTAAAGGTGCAAGTCAAAACCTTTGAGCCTTATAGCCTTCGAGTTATTTATAGGCCACCCACAATTGCGCCTCTTAACTGATTTATCAGCAATATATACATAGTATATATAACACCGCTATATATTATACTTTAGTCACGAGCACGATTCAAGATCTATGTCCAATCCGCAGATAACAATTCATCCGACAACGCATGACTTCATGGCTCGATTGCTCTATCATTTATTCACATGTTTTTCTTCATGTTTTTCTTCATTTTTTTTTTTTTTTTTTTTTTGACAAAGATAAAGCCAGGTGCGCATGTGAGTGTGCGTGTGTGCGTGTGTGTTTGCCTATTTTGTCTTTGGCGATCTGTGGCTATAAACTTGTCAACTCTTTTTCCTCCACACCAGCTCATCAAATTGCCAAGAAGCTGCACAACTGGTTTGATTTGCCCCACCCGTTATGCGAACCCACTGATTGCCCTTCACGTGTTGCGTGCAGAGGTACTCGCTGAAGACCTTTGCCCTTCCCCCTTTGCGTATTAATGCAAATTTATTTCGTTTACTACGCAAGCGACTTACATATTTTGCATTTGCATAATGCAGCTGCAGGTTGGGTCCCCTCCGGCCATACCTATACACATATGTACATATACACTTACATACATACATATATGTATGTGTTGTATATAGTATAGCTGAGACAGTTCCAAAGAACTATAAATCCATTGTTTACTTTTGCGACGAATGCTACATTTCCCGCCCTTTTTACATATCACTTTGGGTTATGCAATAAATCGCTGAGAAATGCTGAAATACTGAAGACCGTGCGAGCGAGACAGTGCGTGTGAGAGTGAGAGAGACAGAGAGAGAGAGAGAGAGAGAGAGTGAGACTGAAAAATAGAGGGAGGGAGAGATAGACAGATAGAGGCGAGTACGAGGTTGCCGCTACGGCTATGTCTGATTTGTTGGGCCAACTATCTGCCTTATCAGCTGACACATTGATAAAGCGAAGAGCAGACCAAAACATAGGCGATACCCTAAGTATGTGCAGGGCATAAGCGACTACAACAAGCAGTTTGGATAGGCAAGAAAAATGAAGACAGTGACTTGTATAGAGTGTATCTTTATCTAGATATACTATGGATGTACTATACGATATATATATGCACATCTTAATCATCGTCAGGCTATAGCTTACTCATGTGTGTGTGTAAATATACCTTTAATTATATATATAATTATATATATTATTTCACACACAATTAGCGGTCAATTATTCAATTCATTACTCCCCGAAATGATATTTATAATATATTATATATAATATATTATAATTACTCATATACAAGTTTAATTTTGATGCAATGTAAATCAATGAATACAATTTTGTTCCTTTATATTATATTTTAAATAAATTTTTATAAGCATTACTTAAGGTCGGAAACTTGAGGTCCCATAATTTATTAGGTTTTTTTTTTTTTTGTCTTCGATACTGAAAAAAATAGTAGTTCCAATTCTGAATTGACTTTGAGCACTCTGTAATGAAATGTATTTGTTCAGCTATTTTAATTAGTTTATCCTTGTCTATAAAAAATCTGCCAATCTCTTAAATATTATCTAATCATATCACTCATAATATATTTATATTCCTCAATTTGGAATAGTTTGCCAATAGTAAATATACATAGCCTGTATACATATATGTATATCCTTAATTACCAGAATTCCTCACTTTCCCACAGTTAGATAGAGTATTCAAAGTGCGCCTTAGCCTTGACCAAGCACGCTCCGGGTACCCTTCTCTTCAAGGCACTCGACTCCATTTGGCAGCGA